TTGCCATTGTTGCTGCTTGTATCTGCGGTAGTTGCTATTGTTGTAGTTGTTGTCATAACTGTGTATCTTTTTGTTGCTGTCCGGTGAAAGTAATCAACAGCAGCAACATACACATCAACGACAGCAGCAGCAGCAGCAGCAACAACAACAACAGCAACAACATCAGCAGCACGGCAGCAACATTAAGGCGAGGTAAACAAACTAAGAAACAGAATGAGCTACACTCGCCGAAAAGTCTGAGTCGGTTATTTAACCAAAGCGAGCACTCAGACAACAAGATGCGATTATGAAGATTTCTAATTGAAAACCGGGAGAGAATGACGACTGTGAAGGGCGCCGGGGGAGGGCGAAATGAAATTTCATTAAAAACGTTTGCACAAATAAAATAAATGCTACAACGGGCAAAAAAAGGGGGCGGGGGGAAAAAGAAGAAAGGCAAAGGCACGGGCAAAAAGAAACTGAAACGAGGTCAAGCGAGGTCAACTCATTTCATGTACCCAACCCGAACTACTTCATACTCTACTAAATATTTGTATGACGACGGCGAGGCGGAGATTCATTTGTGTAAGCCAGTGTGTGTGTGTGTGTGCGAGTATCTGTGTGAGGAGGGCATGGCTGTGTTGGTGAATGGGCATTGGGAGTGCAGTTCAGCTTTGGAACGCCAAGTTTGCCATGCATACTTCGGGTTAAGAGGGGCCTGTCAGGGGTTAAGGGGGCGGACGACGGGCAGGGGGTGTGGCCCCGTCATAAACTAAATCAAACAAAAGGCAAAAGCCGAGTAAAAATGTGGAGCGACGATGGGAGCACTTCAATTGAGTTTTACATAGATTTGTCGCTGTTGTGTTGCTTTTGGAGCAACGATACTCTTAGAAAACGGGTACCCAAACATTTAATTTATATCTAACAAAATTAAAAAAATAATATAAAAACATTTGTTGAATTATTAATTGTGTTACTTACTTGCAAGAAGCAAACATTTGTTAATTGATCAAATCTTTTTGATATACATATTTAATGTTCTTGAGTGAATTATCTGTTTCGGATTTCCCCAATTTTCCGCTGGACGGTTTGCAGTTGGTGTTGCTTTACTTTTGTTGTTGATTTGATTTCCAACTATTTCTTTTTTTGAGGGCACAGCGATGGCGACAAAATGGACAACAACAAGAGCAATAGCTGCAGCAAAAGCAACAGAAACTCGTTCGCTTGTGTTGCTGTTGCTGATGTTGATGTTGCTGTTGCTGCGGTGTCAGGGCAGCAGCAACATCACAGGCAGCAGCAACATCACAAGCAGCAGCAGCAGCAGCAGCAGAAATCGTAGCGGTCATGACTTGGCAAATGCGCTCGCCAACATTATCGACTTGACCATCTCGTGAACTTCATTTGCAAGCGTTGAGCGGAGGAGGAAGAGGAGGGCGGAGTGGAAAAGCGGGCCAAAAGTGGGCGTGAAAAGGGGGTAAAAACGGGTGGGCAGAGAAGGGGCAAAAGTGGGCGGAAGGGGGTCTTAGGTGGGCAAACAAATTCACAGCACACCACAGCAAGTGTTGCCAACTTTATGGCATTTACAAACACAATTACATTAGCTTCTTTGCGGGCTTCTCCTTTCTTCTTCGGCTTTAACTTTGCCGTTAGCTTTTCGGAGAAGAAGCAGCTGGAAGTTGTTTGGCGATGATGAGTTAACTGTTGGCCAAGTGCGCAACCAATTTGCATTCGTTGGCCGCCAGATCTTGCCAAACGCAAATCCGCTTTGTGGCCGAGACTTGAGCTGAGCAAATATATCAATTGACTGGCGACTTTCGATCCAATTAGAGTTGGAGGTATGTGGGGTAATTAAGCGGGAATTGATTTACAGGAGGCTGTGCTGAAGGAGCTATTACTGAAGTTTCTGTTTGTCAAGTAATTTATTTTACTGCACTGTTACTGTAAATGTTAATTGGTTTACATGCGACTTGCATCGAATAAATTAAAATAGTGTTATTATGTTTATGTACGTTTAAAGACCTTTTAACTATTGTAAACGGTAAAACATATATTAAAGAAATAACTGAAGTCAGAGAACGTAAAATATGTGGTGGTGATATTTTATTAGTACATTGAATTACATTTTGGAAAGTGTAGGTAATTGATGAAGAATGATTCGCTCGCGTTATTATTTTTAAAAACTGTATTATCTGCAGATTTAAATTCAAGACCATGCTTTTCCTATTATATAAAAATTAATTACTTATGTAACTTATAACTTCATTATCTCAATTAAATAAAATTGTGCACGTTGTATGGTGTCAACTGGTTTATCGCTTGCTTTTTCCCCCAACGACAGCTGATTCTTCGAGGACCTGCGAGCTCCATTCGGCATCTGAACAATTATTGACACGTGCTCGAACCTCCACGGCAAACAAAAAGAATGTCAAGGGAGGAGCGACAGGAAGGCAAGGGGATCCAGGAGATCAGAGCGACGAAAAGAGACCGAAGGGGACTCCCCTTTCTGCCCAGATGCATTTCCGGGCACTTCAGCTGTTGATTCTGGCCTCCGTCGTCCGCCTGCTGTTTTGTTTTGTCGATATTATCTGCAATTAAATACTCAATGCACAATGCATAGAGCCAGAAGACAGGACAAAACAAGTAAAAATTTCAATAACTAAAAACGCACATGTCCTCGACAGGACAGGACGAAAAAAAGAAGGTAAGAAGGATGATGATGAGCCGGGCAGATGTTTAATAAAATGTTTGTGGAGCGCGTCCTGCTGGGTCTCCTGCCTACACACACTCCATTCTTGATTCCCGATCCCCGATCCTCGATTCCCGATCCTCCAGGGGTTGGGATCCTGCATATGCCCCGATATTATCCCCTAAATGCGGCCTGTCAATCGCGAGGGGAAAAGGAGAGCGGAGAGAGAGAGAGAAGCTTCCTGCGCAGTTTGCGGCTCATCAGCGTCACCAGTTTAAGGAGATCTCGTTGTCCTGTTATCAGACAACCCCTAAAACAGGACACAAAAGGTCGCGCATGCGCACATCTCTTCTCACACATCTTTTTCTCTCTCTGTCTTTTTATCTCTCTCCCACTTGCTGAACTAATTGGTTGCTCTGACACGCGTTATAGGTTTTTGAGTAGGCAACTAAAACATGAAAGGTGTACATTGAATATTACACAGAAAATTATATGATTCTTATTTAGAATAAATATTTTTTGCATAAAAAACCAATTTATATTTTATACTAAAATATATACAATATATTATAAAAAAATAGTGATTTCTTTAGCTTCTAAAACATAAAAGTAAATATTTCTTAATAAATGTCCTTTAGATTTGCTGTTTTATTATAACTATCATTTTAATATCATTTGTAATTGTTCAGCTTTTTATGTAATTAGTTCATTTAAGAAATTTTGCCTTGTGCAATCATCGAACTCCCATCTAGTTTTCATTTCTTTTGTCGACCTACGCAATAAAGAAACCTCCTCATTCTCCCATTTTCTGCCCCTTAACACATTTTCCCATTCTTGGTTTGTTGATTTTCCCCGGAGAACCCAATGAAAAGGTGCCACAATAGAGGCAAAACGAGAAGAAAGCATTAGAATGGCATTTCTTTCATGAATGGATCGCATTTTCTATTCTTTCCGTCTTCTGTTCTGCTCTTCTCTACCGAGAAATGTTGGAAAACTTTGGTCGATCGACGATTGTCGTGTGTAAACAGCGTGCAAAGCGGTCATAAAAATGTGGCCAGCGGCACTCGAGGTCACATGATTAGTGTCACATTAGCTGAAGGAGTCTCGAGGGGGGAATCGAATGAAGGGGAAAAGGTAATGGCTATCGGGAGGGGTGAATTAAGCAGTCGGCTTTATATCAAAAGCGAGAAGTGGAAAGGCCATGGAAAGGTTTTTACATACTTGAGTTGAGAAATATATTCCGATTATTATTGCTAAAAAATGTAAGCAGCAAATTATGAATGCAATAAGGGGAACTAGAATTACCCTAATTTGTATAATTAATTGTACAATCTTGTTAACGAACATTTAGTTATACTTGATTTATATATTCTGTATTTATCTAATTTTTTAAATGCAATGTTTAAATTAACATGGGCTAAATGCTTTATAATTACCCCACCCTTCGGTTAGTTTAACTCCTTGGATTATGTATAGTTTTGTTTAGTCATTCCACTCTGCTAATGTATCTATCTGATCGACTTCCTTTTATAATTGACCAACTTGATCACTGAACCAATAAGCTCTAATCTTCCCTCCCTTACGGTCATAAATGTATGTCAATTATGGTTAAAATACCCCATAAAAGCTGCTCAATATTTTGCCGGGTTAAGTCCTAAGTCCTTGATGCGGTTTCAGTTGTTATTGTCGTTTGTTTTCTTTTTTCGTTTTTTGTTTTGTGGTCCCAGGAAGGAAGCAGCCGTGACAGATGTTAAACCGCATCGGACAGGAACCAGGATCCTGGGCAGCAATAGGACCTCATTGGCAGCTTGTCGAGTGCGGCACTCCGATCTTGAGTTTAACCCTTTCGGAGCGGAAACTGAACAAAAGGGGTGGCACAATCCATTTAATACGACCTCGATTCGAAAGTGATCGCCAGCTTTCCCAGCGAGCTAATCAATCGAACGAATGTCTTCCGAATCAAGACACAAATGAATTGAGAACAACGGCGCTGAAGAAGCGGAAAAAAGAAAGGCCACCGAAAAACAAGTTAGAAATCTTTTTGTTTTCCATTTATTTCTCCTCTTTGTTGCTTTTGTTGTTTTGTTTTATTTTTCAGTTGCAGCGGCGTCGACGACGCATCATTAAAATATTTTCCACTCTTCGGTTGGCTGTTTGGTGTTAAATCAAAAACCACTTGAACGAAATAAAATCTTTCTCACAGTCAGCGGTCGCACAATGGCCAAATGGTAGAAAGGGGGCAAGGGGGAAGGGGAAGGGGGACAAACAAATTATGAGAACGTTCGGGATCAAGACGATGGTGAAGAATGTTTTCTTTTTCTTCCCGCTTCTTCGACGGGTTCAGTCGAGTTCTCTGGGCTCTTTTGTTGTCCGGCGATGTCGTTGTTGTTAAATTGATGACAACAACATGAGAAACGCTGAAGCGTGCGCTTCGAAAATGTATCTGCATAGTCGCCGGAGATACAAAAGCCAGCGGCGAGATACATTTCGGTGTGCTGACCGTTTTGCGTATCCGTGACGATTTCTCGTTTACCTGTGCGACACAGACCCAAAAAGCGGACAATAAATCAATAATCAAGCCGCCGATGGAGAGAGCAGTCGGATGGATGGATGGATGGATGGATGGATGTATAAATGTATAAATGGATGGACGGATTGGTTCGGAATCGGCTCGGATCGAAAGGCGAGTCTGGGGCCTTATCATCATTATTCAAAGCGAGCCACCAACGCCGCCACCGCCGACACATGGAAATGGGAATAGAAAAATAATAATAATAACGAGAACAACAAACAGAGACCGAGGGAAAACAAAACAGAACCAAACCGAACAAAACGAGTTCCTAGACTTTCTGAATGCCATAAAACGACGACGAGTTTTGATTTGATTTTTGAGATCCAATCGACTGGCATAGAACACATGTACCTTCGGGTATGAAAAAAATACATTTCAATTCACACTCGTCCAGCGACACGGGTTACATTAAAAAAACCCCCAGACGAATCATCCCAAAAAATGCGTGGATGCTGTGGGAGAGAGTCGGCCAGGAACATATAAATTCTGGACAGAAACCTCGACGGAGGCAACAACTCGTCATCGGATATATCAGGTTTGGGGTTAAAGTTCTACAGGTAAAGAAATTTTAGATCCGATCACAACAGTTAAGTACAAAGAATATTAATTAGGTAATATTGTAGATTTTAATCTTAATAAACATATTAAACTTAATTAAAAATTGGGTAATAAATATTACTGCTATGGTTTTATAATAAAAATATTATTTCTTTATATAGATTATATTTTATATATTATTATTATGTTAAAGATTTTTAAGATTACAAAAGCTAGATTATGTATGGTATATTTAAATAAACGATTTTTTGAAAACAAATGCGTAAATCCTTGCAAGTATTATTTTAGAAGTTACATATTTACAAAAAAATCATTTGAATGCAGATCGCTTCAGTTTTTCTCGCTGTGCAGGAAAAAAGAGAAGTGAGACCGAGGCTGGTGGCTGCCCACGCCCGCGTTATGATTTTGTGGCCATTTTATAACTAACAACATTCCATCGGCGCCGACAACCGAGTCCCCATCCAGAGTCCCCATCCAGAGTCCCCGTCCAGAGTTCCCATTCCAGATCTCTGTTTTCAGGCCCTGTCCACTGGGCCACACACATCGATGGTTTAGCCGATGATGATGACCGCTCTTCGCCTCTGGGAGGAGTTGGGGCGGAGTGCATTGGTAACGCTGTCTGGTGACAGAAGCGGCAACGGGAGCAAAATGAGGGATTCGAGAAGGAGGATGTCGAGGACTGGAGGACCGACGAATCGAAACCTGTCGGTATGTTACCAAAGGACGGAAACCCATACCCTTCTCTCCAAAGTCACATTTTTTATAAACTTTGCTGTGGGGTTTACTTTCTGAAACAGAAAAAATATACACTTAAAGTTGTAATTAATCTGAGGTTTAAATACTACGCAGTTTTCAGTAAAAGGTAGGGTTACGAAAAAGTGTTTAATAATTTATAACTGGTTATAGTAACTTTCCCATTTTATTTAAATAAATATCATAAGCAAATATCATAATCATAAGTTTAATTCAAATAAACATTCTTTTCTTCTTGGAAAGGGTGCCCAAAGCTTGTGCTATCTTAAGCAACCCTTCTTTAAATATAAGAGCCATAAAACGAAAATAAACTTTTCAAAGTCATAAAACGGCTTATAATTAGGCAAATTATTGCGAAGAATTTATTTATATTACTTTGGGAAACGACTGAGATAAAAGGCGACTGATAAGCCTGCGCGGGCAGAGACCAAAGATAAAAATTGGGATCGGATCGTTCGTTTTCCACATAATTTAAGAGCTTATCAAAATTGGATTTTTATCGCCGTTCCGAGAGCAGAGCTTCTATCGCGAGATAAAGTTTCGTGTTCGCGCGAGGAGTATTTGCAAATTGGTCTGCGCTTCGATGGCTGGGGCACAGTATCTGCGTATCTGAGGAGGAGAACATTTCCTTGAACTGCCGCGGGAAGATACATATCTATCTACAGATAGTCTGCGTCCCAAATTCCACACGTGGCCCTTCCGCTTATCACCTCGGCACTAGATACAATTTGTATCTGTATCTGCGGTCGACTTTGCTTTTGCTTTATGGCCCGTTTTCCAATTGTCTGCAGGTCCACAGCGGCTCACATGTTTTGTATAATTATCGTGGTTAATGTCTCCGCGCTGGCTGGCTGATAAAACCTTTTATCAGTTTCGGTTTACTTGTTGTTTTCTGTTTTTTTTGTGAATCGTACGTACAGCACAACTCTGTTTGCCTTTTAATTAAGTTGAACAAAAAATAATGTCAACGCATTCTTTAAGTTAGCAACAATTCCCGGCAGGTTGACCTTGAGCCAAGCAGCAGCGGCAGCGAAACGCGATCAGTCCAAAAGATACCGTCCACCTATCTGCGAATCAACTTTCAACGCAGCTCAGACTGAAAATGAAAGTCGGAATATTTTGCAAAACAAAAATTTGTTATAATGGCCTCAAAATGCAGTGCTGCGCTCAAACAAAGTTATTATGGCCTAGGCTTTGTTTGCCTTTCTGGCTCATGGCGAAAAACCCACATGACCAGATTGGCCCCAGATTTGCCCCAGCATCGGTTGGTTTTTAGCCTCAGCATTAGCCCCCAACCACATGGCCAAATTGCAGACTGGCCTGGCCAGGAGTTGCCCAATCTCGGCTAAGATGCTGCATAATTAGCTATAATTTGTGAGCCAGCGAAGTGAAAGTCCAGGCTGAACCCCAGATGGGGATCATCTATCGGCCAAACTCATCTCGGCCCCATTTGCAAACGGATGAGTTGCCATAGCTGGATGTCAAAGGAGCAACTGCAAATTGCCTGACATGCAGATGAGACATTTTTGGGGGGTCATAACTGGATAGGAAATATTTCCTGATTTGTGCTTGTAACTTGCCAAAGCCAAATAAGTGATACTTGTTTATTTTAGAGACCTATAAATTATCATTTGTTTAGTAAACTAAATAATAATTACAAACAAAAACATAATAAAAATTGAAATACTGTTATGAATAATGGGAAGTGTTTTGCTTTAGTTTAAAATAATTTAAATTAATTTTGCTCTACATAAGCCCTTTAATGTCTGAATCACAAAGCAATTTTCTTCAGCGGTAAAAATTGATTTTATATGACCCGTAGACCGAGAAAAGTGAGTGATAAACGATGTCAAGCTCGGATTTTATTGGACTCATCCAGACCTTTTCCCCGGTGAGCCAGTCAATGGCTTTGGGCCATCATCAAAGGCCGGATCATTATGATCATTGTCATCGTGGTGATCATTATAGTGGCCCAGAAAAATGCATTTACATGTGGCCCGGTATCAAGAGCTCCATTTCCATTTCCCTGAGCCACATCCACAAACCATTTTCAGCTCGTGATCGCGGTGCGTCTTTCGCCTTTGTGTGTCAGTTGCATTTACAGCTACGACAGAAAGCATTTCAGAGTTTTTCATCTCTATTTTATGATACAGCTAACGGTTTCGGGGCATTTCCCGATGATGAAAACTCTTTCTTCGTCATACAAAGTCATCTGTTTCTGTTTCAGTTTTCGTTTCTTTTTCTTTTTCTTGTTTTTTTTCTTATTTTAAGAGGGGCCTAAGAAAAAAATGACTCCTTTTAAGTACAACAATAAATCGAGACTTGAGGAGCAGTGAGGATGGACGGAGGATTCAGGGGGGAACCACCCACGTAACGACCGAAGACAACTTCATAATTCACTCAAGAAGTATACATTTTTTTCAGCCTAGAGCAGCCTAGAGCTTCAATCTCAATCGCAGCCTACGGATGAATCGCAAAGTACATAAGTAGGTGGCGGGCTATCCATGAGATACTTTGACTTCGTGCGTATAGGAATTGTGCTCAATTTCCACAAACACACACTGTGACAATCGGGAGGTCTTATCAACACAGAAGCATCATCTTGCACAGCATGCTTTTATCTCTCTCTCAGTTTGAGTCGTTTGCGAACAGGCGTTCAGAAATCGCACGTAGCTCACTCCACTCACAGAAATCGGGGGGTATATATATATACACTTTGCTGGAAACGCAGCTCTCGGGTTCTCTCGGTTCTCGGTTCTGGATTCTCGGTACTGGGTTCTCGGTTCTCGCTTCTCATGGGTAAATGGGTGTTGGTGCGGCTCTTTCTCTCCACTTGCCAGTATTGCCAAATATACACAAGAGCACCGGGCGAAATGTGCGAAAACTGGAAATGGAGGAGCCGAGCTGCAGAACACAAAAGCCACAGGGAAACCCAAACCAAACCCCAAACCCCAACACACACACACACACACTCATTTCAGCCCAAGGAAGTCCAGGAATGAGGCTGAGACTCAGGGAACGCCGGAAGGAGGAGGGGGAGGGCAGCGGATCCAGAGACAAGCGCAAATGAATCGAAATGAGGCAAGATGCAGTCACAGAAACAGCAGCCGAGGCAGAAGCTCGCACAGGGAAAATTCGTAAGTGATAAACCAGGAAGACTAAGAAAATTATAAGATAAACACTTCTTTGTCATTTCAGTATCCTTTAAATAAGTTGTATATTGAAACTAATGCTGTCATTTTCTTAATATTATTTCTTTAATGCACCATTTATCTTTGAATTTTCTTTCAATAAATGCACATTGGACAGTGTCCACTGTACATCAATCCACTACCAGAACCCCGGGCCCTGGTCGCAGTGTCTCTGTCCCCATATCTGTTTCTCTGTTGCTGTTTCGGTGCTCGGTTTTTAGTCTCGGCCACTTGGCAGCTGTGTGCGCGAACTCAGTTTAGCTGCGTTGAGTGTGAGCAGCTTAAAAAGCAACGGCTGCCACTTCAGCACCCCCTCAAACAACCCCCCGCCACCGATTTTGTCCCCTCGGAATGCCAGAAGAGAAGCTTCTAATGCATTGGGGCTGGCGTAATAAGCGCAGTTTTTGTTTGAGAAAAAAATCACGACAAACGAGGGGAGAGGGAAATCCGGAAAATGTGGGGTCTTGAAGATTGCACTCTGGGAATATACATACAAAAGCGACTGTGTATCTGATGGGGAATCAGTCAAATTTGTAGAGTTTTCCTGGCGAGTAAGAGTTTTGCTGCAACTCTGCGACAATGAAGCCATCCTGGAACTCAGCAAGAATAAAGTTTTCGAGGGGTTTTTCATGGGGGGAACACAACTTTATCTCTAAAACCCAAAGTATGCACTTAACACAGTTTCATCAACTCTGCTGCTCAGCATTCCCAGTCGCTCTTTCTCCGGCTCACAATATCGCTCATTTTCAATAAAAATAGCTTAAATTCGTACCAGGCGAACAGCAGCGGGAAAAGTTCTAAAACCGTAGAGAACAGGGAGAATCGAGGAGACAAGTGCCAAATGATGATGCTTGGAAATTGCTTCGCTCTCTTCCCGGTTTTGGTTTTGTTCTTAGTTTCAGTTCGAGGGGAAGTGCAGCGGCGACTTGAAAGTTTTTGTGTGCAAAACTCTATTCTGCGAAGAGAGCAGTTGCACTGGTAGAAAAAATGTACTATAGTATTTTTATAGCAACTTTACATGTTAACTTTGTATACCAAAATATAATAATAAAATATATAATTTATTTAATATTAAATAATATTTTTGTGCGATTTAAAGGAAGCTCAAAAACAGATATGCTAGATGTGTTTTCTCAGTGCACCCCATCCCTTAATACCCAAGGGAATGCAGAGAGCTTTGCGACTGGCACTTGCTGCTGCTTTCCTGCTTTCGCGAGCGCCGCAGATGCAGATGCAGCAACATCAGCAGTGGCAAAGTAGCAACATCGCAGCGGCAACATCGCGGCGGCAGCAACAATTCGCATCTTCTGCTGGCACGTTTTTACTTCCGGTTCGTGACAGTGGCGAGGCGAAAGGGGGCTGCCGAGGGGGAGGAAGCGAATTCCGATCCCAGTCGAGTGGTTTGTTTGGCTGCTGCATTTTTTGGAGCGCTGCCTTTGTTGTAGTCGCTGCACGTTTGCGGTCGTTGGCTTCAGTTTCATC